TTCAAGGCCAACCTGGTCTACAGAATGAGTTCAAGACAACCAAGGCTACACAGATAAACCCTGTCTCAATCCCTCCCCCTCCCCCCCCAAAAAGCTAGGTGTGGTGGTATATGTCCATAACCCACCATTGGGGAAGTGGAGACAAGAGGATAACTGGAACTTACTTACTGGCAAGCCAACATAGGCCAGTTAGTGGCCAGTAAGAGATTCTGTCTCAAAATAAAAGCTGGAGTTGCCAGATGGTGGTGGCTCATGCCTTCAATCCCAGTACCTGAGAGGCAGAGGCAGGCAGAACTCTGAGCTCGAGTACAGCCTGGTCTACAGAGTGGGTTCCAGGACAGCCAGGGCTACACAGAGAAACCCTGTCTGGAAAAAAAAAAAAAAAAAAAACCTATCTTCAACTAAACAAATAAGGTGGAGTTTAAAAAAAGGGACCTAACATTAACCTGACACATACAGTGTCATTTTTAAAATAATTAAAAAGGATGGAAACTTGGTATATTTCTAAGTCTGCCCAGATATGCACCACAAAATCACATACTTTGAAAATGTCTTTGTACTTTTGAAATCACTTGGTCTAGTCTCTTGATCAAACAAGGGAAAAAAAAGAGAGAAACTTACCAAAGCAAACAAACTTGCGTAGCAAAACCAGCACCAAGTTTTTAACTTTTGATACAGGGTTCTGCTATGTAGCCTTGGTCCTCACTATGCTGTCCAGTTTGGCCTGGAACTCAGAACAATCTTTTTGCCATGCTAAGATTATATAGGTATATGATATCACAACTAGGAAGTACCGGGCTCTCAAACTTTCAAAAAAAATTTTTTTCTTTTTATTTTTATTAATTACACTTTATTCACTTTGTATCCCCCCATAAGCCCCTTCCTCCTCCCCTCCCGATCCCACCTTCCCTACCCCTTCTTCACGCATGCCCCTCCCCAAGTCCACTGATAGGGGAGGTCCTCCTTTCCTTCCTTCTGATCTTAGTCTATCAGATCTCATCAGGAGTGGCTGCATTGTCATCTTCTGTGGCCTGGTAAGGCTGCTCCCCCCTCAGGGGGAGGTGATCAAAGAGCAGGCCAATCAGATTATGTCAGAGACAGTCCCTCTTCCCATTACTATGGAACCTACTTGGACACTAAACTGCCATGGGCTACATCTGTGCAAGGGTTCTAGGTTATCTCCATGCATGGTACTTGGTTGGAGCATGAGTCTCTGGGAAGACCCCTGTGTTCAAATTTCTGGTTCTGTTGCTCTCCTTCTGGGGTTCCTGTCCTCTCCAGACCTTACTGTTTCCCACTTCTTACATAATATTCCATGCACATTGCCCAAGAGTTGGCCATAAGTCTCAGCATCTGCTTTGATAGTCTGCAGGGCAGAGCCTTTCAGAGGCCCTCTGTGGCAGGTTTCTAGCTTGTTTCCTGTTTTCTTCTTCTCCTGATGTCCTTCCTCTTTGCCTTTCAGGATGTGGATTGAGCATTTTAGTCAGGGTCCTCTCTCTTGATTAGTTTCTTTAGATGTACAGATTTTAGTAAGTTTATCCTATATTATATGTCTCAAACTTTCAAAATTTATGTTACCAAAATTATCATAATAAAAAAAATAAAAGATTTAAAAAAAAAAAAGAATACTATTTTTACCATATGCAGCTTCTTTCAAATATCCAATTTGTGTGTATGTGCATGTAACTAGAGGCCAGAGGTTGAAGCTGGTTGTCTTTTTTGATAAATGTGCGCCTTTTTTTTTTTTTTGAGACAAGATCTCTCACTGGCCTGAAAGCTAACCTAATTGGCTCTACTGGCCAGTCAACAAGCCCCAGGTATCCTCTAGTCTCTGCCTCCCCAGTGCTGTGTTATGGGCATATACCACCACACCCAGCTTTTTAAGTGGGTGCTAAGAATCTAAAATTAGGTCTTCATGCTCATGTCACAAGTACTTTACAGACTGAGCCATTTCCAAAGCCTTATCTTTTGTCTGACAGCATCCTGGACTCTTTAATACTTGTTAAAATACCAACGCATAATCAGCTATCTTCTTAAGAATACTACAATACATGATTCACACAAGTTTGTGAGTCACATTCACACTAATTACCCAATTTAGCTTATCCAGAAGTCTTAGGAAATAGGTATTTCCTCTACTTTAAAGAGGAAGAAACATAGTCATTCCTTAAGTTAAAGTTGTCACTGAGTCCTTTACTTCAACTGACAGGGTGACAAAACAGTCTCCCTGCATCATCAGGCTTCAAGAGCTTGCTGCTTGTCCTTCATTCTGCTATTTGTTAAAAACCTTAAAGAAGAAATCTTGTGGGGCTGAGGATGTAAGCCAGCTGAGTGTGTGCTTGCCTGCATGCACAAGGCCTTCAGTTCAAACCCAAAAACTGAATTAAACCAGATGCAGAAGTGCACACTTGTAATTCCAGAACCCTAGAGCCATCTCCAGGCAGGAAGATAAGAAGGTCATCCTTGAACTAAACAGTTTGAGACCAGTCTGGGATATGAGAGCCTATCTCCAAAACAAATGAACACCAAAAATCCAAGTCTACTTGGTACTCAAGGAATGACAGAACTATTATTATACAATCTAGATTCAACTGCTTCTCCAGTTGAAATAGAACTAGCACATCACATGAACTGGAATTCAGTCTTTCAAGTACCAACTTCCAAACTATGGGCTTTTCCCTTAATTTTCAAGGATCACACCCCACAATTACAAGCCTCTTTTACTCACAATTCAATGTTGTAAACATTTTTTTTTAATGTGCAGTATGAACTGTACATCAATAAAGCATCACAAGGAATGGCTTCTTGAGAACACTCATACATTACTGATGAAGAAAAAAAAAGTACCATTAATGTGTGACAGAAAATAAAGTCTGTGTGCCAAAAAAAAAGCAATCTACAAAGTGGGAATCAAGGGTCAATAAATGCTTCCTAGAGCCAAGCTCTGAAGGACTGCAGAGGTGGAAGGCAGGTGTGGAAGAACACACAAGTAAATCCAGCACTTGGAGAAGGAAGCAAGAGGACTAAGAGTTTGAAGCCAAGAGATATTGTCTCAAAAAAAAAAACAAACAAACAAACAAAAGGCCAGGCAGTGGTGGTGCAGGCCTTCGATCCCAGCGCTGTGGGTGTAGAGGCAGGTAGATTTCTGGGTTCAAAACCAGCCTGGTCTATAGAGGAAGTTCCAAGACAGCCAAGGCTACATAGAGAAATTGTGTCTGGAAAAACACAAGGGAGGGGAACAATAGAGAGGGTAAAGACCCTGACCTAGGGCCTTTTTTCAGACACCTGTATTATAATTTTAACAATGCTGAGGAAACTGAATTTGAACAAATGGTACAACGAGGCATTTTCTACAAGAGTCACAACACCCAAACCCTAAGAAATTTAGTGGAAGTCAAAGCATTAACCCTCTAGGCCAGTGGTGAGAAGGAGGTAATTATGTCATACCACCCCCACCCAAATCTGAACACATTTTTTTGCGTGCTGTCATTTACTGGCTAGAAGTCAGGACTACAGCTAAACACTCTATAATGCACAGGGCCAAGCCCACAACGAAGTGTGTGGTTGAAATAACATTGCTGGGAAACACTGCTCTAAGCAGAGAACAAAACACAGGCAAGAGTACAATAAAGGTATTCGCTATGAGCTACTTCAAGGCAAGGGTGGCTGATCAGGCAGAAAAATGAGTAAACTAGAACACCTCTGAAGTGAAGGAACACAGCAAAGATTCCCAATGAACATGTCTAGAGATTGGTGAGAGGAGCTCACGAGCTACAAGGCTAATCAAGATGGGAAACAGCAGGCTTAAGTATAAAATGCCTTTCCTACTACCAAAATCAATCTAACCTACCAACCTAACCCCTTTCTACAGAACATTTATAATGGCCTAAATATCATCTTATTTTGTACTTTCTTTTCTTTCTTCTCTATAGTAAATTTCCTGAGATCATGGGTTTGGTTTATTTTCCGCATAAACTTAAACTGATAAAACCCGAAACACTCCACAAGTTTGGCAAGCGAACAAGGTCAGGCTTATTTATGGCTTCCTGGTAGGAAAGGGGCTAATCAAGGAAACAATCTCTTAGGCATGTAGGGGAGCAGGGATGGAGCGAGCAGAAGGAATCCTACTAGACTGAGCCGGCGCCGGGTCTAAAATTCAAAAGTGCAGCAGCAGAAGAGAGGGAAAAGCAAACTGGAAGAGCACCAATGCGGGGCGCGGGTGCAGTGAGGGCTGGCGAAAGCAGAAAGTAAACTACTTGGGGACCAGACGCCACGGCAGAGAAAACGTTCGCAAAACTTCCCAGAGGTGTCAAACAAGAATAGGAAAGTGGACCGGGAAAGAGCCACGGGCTAAACAATTCGCAGAAAGTTCCAGGAACGCCTCTTTTGGCGGGAGGGGCCGTGGGCGGGGCAACGCACAGTTTGGCCCATACCATTCAGGCAAGAGAGGGGACTGCACAAAATTCCGCCAACTGACATTTGGGAATAGGCTCGAGTTAACTGCATGCCAGAAGGGAAAGCGAGTTCAAGTCCAAACCCCACAAGAGTATCAAAGAACATTTTAGGGTTCACAACGTCTCAGGTTGCATGGGGGATGTCGTACTACTCTGGCGACAGACAGGGCGACCGGACAGGGGTGCAGGCAGGGCCGCAGCCTTTTTTATCTCACCAGAGCCATTGGGTCCAATGATGGCGGTGAACCTCTGAAATGGTCCGATAATCTGCCGACCCTTGTACGATTTAAAGTTCTCGATCTCAATCAGTTTCAGGAATCCCATGGCAGCGGCGCTAGCGTAGGAGAGGCCGTGCCTCACTCCTGGGAACCGAGGTTAGCCCGCGCGGGAAATACCGCGGTGCAAGACGGGTGTACGGTAAACTTCGCGATAATAAGTCCAAGCCAATCATTACTTCCGGCTTCCGGTGCTAGAAGGCGGTCACTTCCGCCTGAAATTGAGCTTTTGTTGATTTGTTGCCAGGCTCGAACGTATGCGGAGCGTTTGGATCCCTCCCCCAACTAAGCTGGAGAAGCGATAGTGCCCGGGAGGACTCTGATCTCTTTGTGGGGGAAATCAGCGAAGGCAGGCGGGGCCCGAGCCCATGTTTGCTGAGACAAGTCAGACGTCAAAGCAAGGTTCTGCCTTTCCGGCCCCCCAGTGCGAGGGGGAGGCGGGCACGGGGCTGTGGTTTGAAGTCTAGCCATCCTGGGCCCTGCCTCAGAGGATTCAGTCGGGAATTGGAAGGCATCCTCGGAGGGATGGGCAGTGTAGACTGGAAGGAGGGATTGTAGGGAAGATTTAGGTGAGGTGAGACTGGAGTGTGAAAGAGGATGAGGGTAATCCTAGACAGCGGAGATACAAATTGGGGAAAGCTGGGTTCTGAGATACTACCCCTGCCACCTGCCTATCTATTTCTCCAAGTAGAATCTAAAGAACTGCTATTGTAAATCCAAGAGCTAACTTGGATCCAATCCATTTAGGAGCTTCAAAGTTGGAGTTCTGTACCAAGAAAGGTATCTTATGTGAATACCAGGGGTCCGGGTCCTTAAGGCAATGCTCCAGTTCTGTCCTTTTTCCTTTCTCCTTGCTATATCAGTTCCCACTGCTTCTTACCTCTATGACACTTTCCCTTTATCCCCATCTTCCTCTTCACTCTCTTCTCCCTTGTCTACCTCTCTCGTTGGCTTCTCTGTTTCCATTCTTTATACCCTGCCCTTCTCCATTCATTTTTCAGCCCCTTTTCTTCATCCTTTCATCTCTCTTCTGTCACCTTATATCTGCTCATTAATAAGTCATGATTTTAGCAGTCCAGGGTGTCTCCCGAATCGTCCCTCTTTAGTGACCTTATATTGTTGTGACAACAGATTGACTTTATAGGCTGGGGTTACCACCATTTTCAGTTAGATCTGGAAAGGGGTTTGGTGGGTTCCACAGCCATTCCTGTAACCTTTTTTTTTTTTTTTTCTGTGATAGGATTTCTCTGTGTAGTTCTGGCTGTTGTGGAACTCTGTAAACCAGGCTGCCCTTGAACTTGGAGATCCACCTGCCTCTGCCTTCCTTGTGCTGGGTTCAAAGACATGCGCAACCACTGCTTGGCTCTGTAACTAAATTTTTAAGATTCGTGTGTGTGTGTCATGCACACCACAGACACAAGGCATCAGATCTCGCAGAGCAGGATTTACAAATGGTTATGAACCACCTGATGTGGATACTGAAAGAACTCTGGTACCATGAAAGAGCAGAAAGTGTTCTTAACCACTGTGCTGTTTCTCCAGTACTATTCCTGTAATTGTTCTTATATAATGTCTAAAAGCTGGGAAGAATCCTAAAGAATTTAGGAAAGTGAAAAAGCTTCAGTTGATAGAATCTGATATGGAAGCCGAAAATGAAGCTGTTTTGGGAAAACAGTCACAGTTATCATGAGGGAATAAAATAACCAAGAGCCAGCAACCTCATATATTTTTTTTAATTAGTATTTAATTTTCAAAGATGAGATGGAGCGTGGGAGAAAATTAAACTGGAGCCCTATCTCCAAATATATACAAAATGCACTTTCAAATGGATTAAAACAAATGATAAAGGCAAAACTTTAGGGATCGTAGAAGAATATATAGAAGAATAACTATGAATTTAGAATAGGAAGATATTTTGTTTTAGTGTTTTGTTGCTGTTTGGTTGGTTGAGTTTTAATGTTTTTTATTCTTTTTTGGGGTGAGGCAGGGTCTCTCTATATTGCCCTTGCTGTCCTGGAGTAAACTATGTAGACCAGACTGACCCCAAACTCAGAGATTATCCTGCCTTTCCTCCCAAGTGCTGAGATTAAAGGTATGTGCCATCACACCTTGCCATTTTAAAATTGTTCTTTTATACATTCATATATGTACCAATGAATATGGGTCATATCCACCCTCCAACATCTGCCCTCTAAACCTCCATCATATCCCACACATTTTGGTAAATCACTGAGTCCAATTGGTACTGCCCACATGTGCATTGTATGGATCTTCAGGAAAATTCACTCTTCCTCAGCAGGCATCAACTTCTAATAGCTCTTCAGTTGGGGATAGAGCCTCATGAGCTCCTCACCCATCCATGCTGGAAGGTTCACTGGCTTGCTCTTGTACAGGTCTCCTGAAGGTAACCACAGCTGCTGTGAATTCATGAGTGCACGGCCCTGTCATTTTAAAAAAACAGTATTGCATTGTACTCCTTCCCCTCCTCCACCTCTTTACATTCTTTCCACTCCTTTTAATATAATGGCTGCTGAACTTTGGAGTAGTAATGATAAATGTCTCATTTAGGGCTGAGCACTCAACAGTCACTTATTCTCAACAATTTGAGCACTTACGGGTCTGAATAAACTTGCCTACAGGAAAAAGAAGCTTCTCAGATCACAGTTGAGAGCAGCACTAAACTATGAGTATAAATATAAACATTTAGAAGGCAGTTTGACAAAAAAAAAAAAAAAACATTTAGAAAAACAGGAGTAATAGGGCCGACGACCTACGACCTCCTCAGACATGGACTTTTGACCAGATTTATGGTGCCAGACATGAATTCCCTTTTGTGGACCAGGTCTCAAATCCAATCAGAGAATGGTTGGTTACACCTTTGTAATAGTCATGCCACTATTGCACCAGTGGGCACTGGAAAATTGGTATTGTATTTTGCAAGGTCCACTGCTGGATAAGGTGCCTTTTCTACCCTAGTGACCCTGGTAGCACCTCCTGGAACTGTGAAAGCCAGCATGGAGATAATTGCCTTATCAGTTCCAGATTAATTTGTCTATGCCCAGCCACTAAAGTGTGCAGTATCTTTAGCAGCTCTTACTATCTAGTTATGGTGAACAACCAAGAAAAATAGCAGTATCTTATGTTTTAGGTGTCTCTGCTAACAATCTTAACTGATAACTTAGCACTGAGATTTTTATTTAATAACTCATCTCTTCTGGGAACAGCATTAGCCAACCATGATGATTGCTTTTTAGTTTGGTTTTTGTTTTGTTTTTTAAAACAAGGCCTCTGTAGTCCAGAATGGCCAAGAACCTAATATTTAGACTGGACTGGCCTCCAATTTTTAACAGTCTCCTACCTCAGCCTCCCAACTGCTGGGATTAAGGTTTAAAGCATCATACTTTGCAAGAAATTTGTTAAATAACTAGACACACTTCATTCGGAGAAAAAAAGATGAGTGAATGTGACAAATTTACATTACCAAATTCACCATTAAGATGTGAAATGAGGGCTCAGGGACTAGAAATACTTGCTGGGTGGTGGTGGTGCATGCATTTAATCCCAATACTGTGGCAGCAGAGGCAGACAAATCTCTTGAGTTCAAAACCAGCCTGGTTTACAGAAAGTATTAGGACAATCAGGACTACAGAGAGAAACTCTCTCTTGGAAAAAAATGATAAATATTTAAGGAGATAGACTTACCCTAATTTGAATATTACATAGAATATTATCTGTTGAATCATAATACCCCATAAATACATAAAATTTTGTTTTATATATCCACTCAAAATAAAAATTTTAAATTCAAACATCCCTCAAATGAACACGAGATGAATGGGAACTTCATAAAGTAATAAAGTGGTTGAACACATGAAAAGGTGTGAAACCTCATTAACAATGAAGAAAATTTCTATTAAAATCAGTAATTATGGACTGATGAGATGGCTTATCAGGTACAGGCATTTGTAACCATGCCTGGCCTGAGTTTGATCTCTAGATTCCATATGGTAGAAGGGGAGAGCCAACTCTTGCAAATTGTCCTCAAACCACAAGTACACTGTGATGTAAGTATTCACACACACACATGCTGTTTTATGGGCTTTTGTGTGTGCATGTAAGTCAGAGAACAACTTTTAGAAGTGAGTTCTTTTTTCCCATGTGGGGCAAAGGTTCTCTCCTACAACTAGGATCCAGGGGATGGAAATTTTAAGGCCTAGTAGCAAGCACCTTTTACCTACTGAGCTATCTCACTGGCCCCTTTGTGACTTTAGTATTTTCTTTTACCCAATGTACCCCAGTTTACTACTCAGTAGTTACACGGGGCTATAGATAAACTCATTATCTTATCTTTCAACAAGTATTGGTTGAGAAGCTATATTAGTTTGACATTACTCCTATAACAAGTCATTCCAAAATTAACAATGAAAAATTATTTTCATACAGTTCTAGAAAGCAGAAATCCAAAATGGGTCTCAGAGGACTAGGGATCTAAACTCAGGTCCTCATGCTTGCCTAAGAAGCACTTTACCTAGTGAGCCATCTCCCTATTCTCAGAAACATTCTTTAACTCAGCCTTTACAGCACTTTTTTTTTGTCTTTTTAGGTTTGAGTCTAGCTTTTAATGATGAGCCCTTTCTCCAGCCCTCCCTCTTCTTTTAAAATAGCCCTACTCAAAACCTCTATCCTTGTCTTTTTGGTAGACTTCAGTGGTCTCCACATTGGCCTTCTGGATTCCTCTTTTGTTTCCTGTTGCCCACTCATCACACAAACAAGCAGCTTTTTTTTTTTTTTTTTTTTTGAAATAAAATTTCCTCTTTGGTAGGCTGGAGAGATGGCTCAGTGGTTAAGGGCACTGATTGCTCCTCCAAAAGACATAGGTTCAATTCCCAACACCTAAAATGACAGCTCACAACTGTCTGTAACCCCGAGATCTGACACCTTCTCGCTGACACGCATGCATGCAAAACACCAGCGTACATAAAATAAAAATATATTTTAAATGGACTGTTTAAAATTTTTTCCCATTATAGCTAAGTGCGGTGGGACACACCTGTAATCCCAGTACTCTGAGAGGCACAGGCAGGCAGATCTCTAAATTTGAGGCCAGCCTGGTCTACAAAGTGAGTCCAGGACAGCCAAGACTACACAGAGAAATGCAGTCTCAAAAAAAGCAAAAACAAAAAATCCCTTTATTTTATTACTTATTATCTAGTAAGATAATTGGCCCATGTTCCACCATATCTTGGGAAGCACAGTTTTGACACTTAAGTGGTGGAAGGAGGTTGCAAACATAAGTCTTATTATTTCTCTTGTCTCAAGTGCTTGAAATCCTCTACTAGCTTCTTATTACACTGAGATGTAAACTCATACTTGGGTCTTTTGTGGAGCCAGTTTATAAACAAACTTTTTATTACATTTTATTTAGGGGGGAGGGGAACGTGAGCATACATGTGTGGAGATCAGAGGACAACTTGTAGGAGTTGGTTCTCTTTCTACCATGTGGGTCCAGGTATCAAACAGAGATCATCAGGTTTGTTGACAAATTCTTTTACCCATTGAGCCATCTCACCAGCCCATGACCAGTAAGACTGGTTCTTACTCTGTAGTTGAAGAGGACCTTGAACTTCTGACCTTCCTGCCTCTGCCAAGTGCTGAGATTATAGGCATGCAGTACTCAGTTCAGGTTTATGTGGTGCTATGGATTGTACCCAGGACTTCATGTTAGACAAGCACCTTATCAACTGAGCCACACTCCCAGGCCCATTACCACAGGCTTTTAAGAGCCAGTCCCTACACACCTTTTCAATTTGTCTCATGCCACTGTCTCCCTTGGTAACAATGCTCCAGGCACACTGGTCTCTTTACGTACTCCAACTCTTATAAGCTATAATAACTTTTGTCATGGTGAAATTGTTGACACAAACCAGAAAAAAAAAAATTTATATATATATATATATATATATATATATATATATATATATATATAT